GCGGCCGCCACGTCACACAATATTCTTTCATATTTCATACTACATCCTTGTATAACTTAAAATTATTCTTAAAATATTATTAAACAGTCCAATAATCAAACCTGTGAATCTGCCCGACTCCGCAAAATAATTAATAAAATATATTTCATTTTCTTGGCGCCGAATATTACTAATACTATTACAAATAATATTACAAATGATATAAATTTTTACAAATAATAAAATTTGTAAAAATTTGTATTATTTGTAACATTATTATACAATTACAAATAAAATTACAAATAATAATATTACAAATAATATATATTACAAATAATAATATTATTAATAATAAAATATTATTTGTAATAATTTCGGTGCGTCGAATAGACAAAACTTTTAGTATTGTCATAGAGAGGAAAGGGGGAGAGAGAGAGAGAGAGAGAGAGAGAGAGAGAGAGAGAGAGAGAGAGAGGGAGAGAGAGAGAGGGAGAGAGAGAGAGGGAGAGAGAGACAGGGAGGGAGAGAGGGAGAGAGAGAGGGAGAGAGAGAGAGAGGGAGAGAGAGAGAGGGAGAGAGAGAGAGGGAGAGAGAGAGGGAGAGAGGGGGGGGAGAGAGAGAGAGAGAGAGAGAGAGAGAGAGAGAGAGACATTCGCGCCCGCGATTCAGATTATGGGCAAGAAAGAATTAAGCTAAGACTCCATGCATGCGGTGAGCTGCGGCAAATGCTGCGGTGACCAATCAGGAGGGAGGCGCAAGTCCGGTTGCGGCAAGCTCCGGCATGCGTCTGTCTCCTGATTGGTCACCGCAGCCGTTTGCCGGAGCTCACTGCATGCATGGAGTCTTAGCTTTAGGCTCGCTGACCGAGAACGAGAGCGACAAGGAGGGAATTATATTTTCTCTCTCTCTCCCTCTCTCTCTCGCTCGCTCGCTCGGCGCATGGACAATTGCCGATCGCGTGGCTCACACGGATTGACCGAGCTGGCTGTGTGCGTGCATAGGGGGAGGGGAGAATCCTCGTGCAAGGCCGTTACCAAATTCGCATCACTGATACCAATGATGTCAAAACCGAACAAGCTGCGGACAAGCGTAACTTGTAAATATCGGAGAACAACTGTTTATCAGCTCATAGAAAATTAATATGACGAGATACCCGCGAAGACCCATGTACTTCTCTTTCGTCTTTGCGTACAATTGCGATCAATAAAAAATTTTCACGAATTGTTCGGTTTTGACATCATTGGTATACGTGTGTATGTGTGTGTGTATGTTTACACGTACACGTACAATTGCGATATACACTTATCATGTTAGCATTGATCATTTTTATTCATGCTAAAAGAAATAAGTATGATTATGTAAAGAATTTGTCTGCGTATTATTATATATTCTACATAGTTTTCCTTGTGATAGCAAAAATAACACACTTGTGTTCATTCACTATGACCTATGAACCTAGTTCAGTCACTGAACTGTGACTGAACTAGGTTCTGAACAGTCAGGAACTGTGACGCAAGACAACGTCGTCTGGACAAACCCTGTTAAATATCCTCATATGTATTGACCAAAGTTTGTCTGTGAAGCATTCGCGCTCCGATTCTACGCAGAGTTTTGGATTTTGTTATTACTCACACATGCAATATGTACAAGCAACTTTGGCAGGGAAAAAGAAATGTACGCGTTACATCTTGCTTTTCACTACGTACTACACATTTCATAAGAACAAGTTGCACATGCATGCTTTCTGGCAACTGTAAATACGACAGTAATTGTTTTGTTTACATCTGTATAGATTATTGTTCTCGTAGTTATTTTAATGTTAGTTGTTACTGTTTGTTGAACGCTTGCATGCAATTGTTTTAATTATAGCTTTCGCATCTTTTCCCTCACTCCTTCCCTAATTCCTTAGGAAATGTAAAACATTATCTAATGTTTCTCTATTAAAAGAGTCTTATTAGATAATTGTTTTACATTTCCTCCTGATGGAAGAAACCACCACCTTCCCGCGGTTTCCATCGAGCAGTAATGTGAACTTGCATTTTTTAAATTTATTGACACGCTTTCATGTCACTTCTTCTGCATAATGCATACTATCGCATGTATGAAAACAGTTTTTTTTACTGATTTTAGCGTTATAACAATAAGACATACAAATATCTCCTATTTTTTAGACTTCATTAAACGTGATCATAATAAAACATGCAAAAATATCTGCTATTTTTAAGGCTTGATTCCGTTCACGTTGCTGGCAAAGAGTGGCTATCCTCTTTTGTACATTGCAAATTGTAAACGGCTATTAGCTTTAGTTTTCAACGGTGGTTTTTATTATGAGTAGGTTAACATAGTCGTATAGATGATTGTCATGTCCGCGACTTGGATCCGCATCAAGAACTAATTAACGCCGTCAACGCCATTTGATAAACATTTACACGTTGCATAAACTTCTCTTAGCACTATTGCTTTCATAGTGCTACAGCTACTTCAAGAGATAATATCAGTTCCGCATTCATTCCATGAACATAACATCCATGAAACGAACGGCTTAAAAGTTTCTTATAAAGACTTAGAACGTTCGTTAGGAAATTGCCAGTATGTTACTTTCGCTTCGGGCGACGTACCGGCACGTTATATTAAATTTTCGCATTATATTTATTTCATATTTTGTCAAAAATCGTCGCTGCCGTAAAAAAGTCTATGTGCATGTTTTCTGATTGTAACATACGTGTGTCATTATATGTAGAATAAAATTGTGAATATATTATACATATAGTATATTGATGTAAACATCTTGATTTGATAAGAAAATTTACATAGGGGATCTTTTCACGGCAGCGACGATATATCATAATCGCGCTTACGACTCAGATCTACGCCGAGAAAGCCAAAATACGCTCGGACGCACGTTAACGCAGTTAAGTCGGGGCGAGAAGGACCGAGAAGGAGCGAAGATTATTCTCTTTCTTTTTCTCATTCTCTCTTTCTCTATCTCATTCTCTTTCTCTTTCTCGCTCGGCGAGGCTGGCGTGAGGCGACGAGGCTTCATATCGATAGGCGGAGCAGCAGCGTTGTGTGCGTGAAGGCGCATGGAGGGGACGCTTCCCCTCGCATGCTGTGGTGTGCGCGGGCACATTTGCGCAGCACTGCTCAGGCCTGTTACCATAGAGCACAATACCAATGTTTGTACCAAGAGCATATCAATGTGAGTAAAATAATAGATTTTAAATATTCCAATGTTTGTTTATAATATTTCTTCATGTTAAATATTATTTTATTAGAATGAATGTAACACAAACAGAAAGTGCTGTTACTGCAGTGGATGAAATTGCACCCAGAAGTGGTTAAAGGAAGATTACGCAGAAAAGGCGAAAGTAGAAGAGAAATGGTAATTATTATTTATATATTTTCAGAAAAAATATTGTATCATAAATAATTCTATAATTTCAGCAAGAACTATTAGAAGACATGGCACGCACTATAAATGAAGCAAAGTTTGGTCCTGTTAAAACCGGTGCAGAATGGTTAAAGATTTACTTTCATTCTACATATGTTATTATACTATACATATATATTATTTATCATTAACATATAGTGCATACTTTATTATTACATACGTATATAGTACAGTATTATTACATACATATATAGTATATATATTAGGTATAGTAAAAAGAAATCCATTATTTTTCCAATAAATGGCTTTAGTTATTTGTATCTCGCGTTGTATAAGTCCGATCGGGTTCCACTAGATCGCGTTAGAAAGATGAGATTTCGTACTAAAAAAACTTTTCTGACAGTTTTGTGATTAGTTGACTCAGTTTTGTTTGAGCGCGCGTCAAAGATGGACACTAGCAAAGAGAAGATACGCTATATTTTACAGTTTTTTTTCGATAAAGGCGAAAACGCAAGCCAGGCGGCTGAAAATGTGAATAGTGTTTATGATCCTGATACTGTAACAGCCAATCACGCGCAATTTTGGTTTCGTCGATTCCGTTCCGGTAATTTCGATGTCAAAGATGCACCACGCATTGGAAGGCCAATTGTCGAAGATATCGATAAAATCATGGACATTGTCGAGTCCGACCGTCATGTAAGCACTGTTTCGATTGCCCAAGAGCTAAAGATTGCACAAAAAGCCGTTTGGAACCATTTGAATAAGGCTGGATACAAAAAGAAGTTCGATGTATGGGTGCCACACGAGTTAACGAAAAAAAACCTCATGGACCGAATTTCCATCTGCGAATCGCTGCTGAATCGCAACAAAATCGACCCATTTCTGCAGCGGTTGGTCACTGGTGATGAAAAGTGGATCACTTACGACAACGTCAAGCGAAAACGGTCGTGGTCGAATCGCGGTGTGCCAGCGGAAACGGTGGCCAAGCCAGGATTGACGGCCAGGAAGGTTTTGCTGTGTGTTTGGTGGGATTGGCAGGGAATTATCTACTATGAGCTGCTCCCCTACGGCAAAACTCTCAACTCGGAACTGTACTGTCAACAATTGGACCGTCTGAAGGAAACAATGGCCCAGAAGCGGCCAGCTTTGGCCAATAGGAGAGGAATTGTGTTCCATCAGGACAACGCCAGGCCACACACATCGATAGTGACTCACCAGAAGCTTCAGGAGCTTGGTTGGGAGATTCTTATGCATCCACCTTATAGTACGGACTTGGCACCAAGTGATTACCATCTGTTCCTGTCCATGGCGAACAATTTTGCTGGTGCAAAATTCGCTTCAAGAGAGGCTTGTGAAAATCGACTGTCTCAATTTTTTGCCAATAGGGACGAGGGCTTCTATGAGAGAGGCATAATGAAATTACCCTCAAAATGGAAACAGGTTATCGAACAAAACGGCGCATATTTGACCTAAATAGGATCATTCTAACTATGGTAATTAAAGCCTTCAATTTCATGCAAAAATAATGGATTTCTTTTTACTACACCTAATATTATTTGTCATAAAATACAAATTTTTCTATTCATATTATAAAATAACAATTTAATGGGTTTTGCAATTATAAACATAGAAAGATTGGAAAACAAATGTTCTAAAAACAGAAACGAAACAGAGAAACTATAGTTTAGGAACAGGTGGAGGCTCACCGATAAAGATTTCTTTCTCTTTCATAGAAGAAGAATTATTGGAATTTCTTACTCCAGAAGCAGCAGGCCTAGAAAATATACCGCAAGGAGGAATAGATTTGAATGAAAACATAGAAAATATAGAAGAAAATTTTAATCATACACAGGAAACGCATAAGTTACATTTTACTGAAAGTGATAATAAATCACTGAAGAAGAAACAATTATATACAAATAATCAATTTTTAGATGCTGAAATAGGTAATATAATTTATCATAATTATCGTCATATTTCTCAATTATTATCATATTTCTCAATTATGTTATTTTTTATTCAGATATAAATTAATTTTTATGTGATATTTTACATTCCAGAATCAAACGTGCAATCGTTAGGTAATTATCCAGTTTAGGGGCTCCGCCTTAGAATTCGATAAAAATAGGCTCAATCAACGCGTTTTTTAATAAGGAGCAACTTTTTCCTCTGCGAAAATTGTCGCTCTTCACTGCGAAACGAAATAAAAATAGTTAAAGTTGACTGGTATAATAGGTTAGGAAACCTATCAAGATTCCGGATGGGTTCGCAACTTTCCACGCGCAACGAGGACGGGGTGGATGCGGGACTTTCGGCCGCCCTCTCTCACCCCCCCGTGTGTGTGTGTGTACATATGTTTGAGGCATTTTTATTTATTAAACCAACGAATATTGTACACTCATTAATTTAGTAAAGCAGAAAATTTTAGTACAATTTTAATAAGATAAATTAAAAAAATTAAAAATAAATGTGGAATCAATAGTTATGATCTTTAATTGTTAATAATTTTTTTATGACGGAACTGATAAGTTAATGACATTTGATGAAAGATATTCACCTTATGGACCCACATTTTTCATTGCAGAATTAGATTGTACGTGAAATTTTTATTGAAACAATTTTTTTCATTTGTGATAGATAGCATTGCACTGCCTTTTATAATAAGCCGTAGTTCGCCACACACCCACAGTGGCGCGTCGAGCAGTTCCCTCTTCGATTCGGGTTCCCATTTGAGATTTGAACGTTACCACCCACCCTACCCCGAAAGGATGGGGGGGGGAATAACTTTTATTATGTTCTTTAAAAATATTGAACAGGTATTTTTTATTTCTCAATCCAATGATCATTTCTGGAGAATTGCGGAAAATATAATTTTTTGCGATTACAGCGCCATCTATCACAAATAAAAAAAAAGTTTCGGACAAAATTTACGTATTTTGTGGCGTAGAATCCGTATCTGCAATAAAAAATGGGGGTTTCCGTTTAAGATTTCAAAGTTGCCCCCAACCCCCACCCTCAGGGGGTGGGTTGGGAGGTCGAGTTTGATATCATTGGATGTCCCCCTTTGAGACTAATAACTTTCATTAATCACTTTTTTTTATCCAATGCATAGTTCTCGAGATATTTCAATGTCTTCAGATAAATCGTACACCCTGTATAATAGGAACATATATATATATACAGGGGGTTTGATAGCTGATCATGCAGACGAAAGTTGGAGATAGATTGGGTGTAGCCGAGAAGAAAAGTAATGTACCATAATGTCAAATTGGCAATAGTTACCGAGTTATTAATTAAAACATGTGAGCCAACGAGAGCGGAGGGTGGCCGCAGTAAGCACGTAGACATTTACAGGCGGAGTCAGCGAATAGCGATAGGCGAGCGCGCGCGGCGAGGGGCAACCTAAACGACAAGAGGCGATCGCGCGCGACGAGGAGCGAGCGAGCACGAACGACGAGGAGCGAGCGCAAGCGACAAGAAGCGAGCGAGCGCGACGAAGAGCGAGCGAGCGCGAACGACGAGGAGCAAGCTATAAGGAAAAAGCTATAAAGAAAAAGCTCGCTCGCTCCTCGTCGCGCGCGATCGCCTCTTGTCGCTTACGTTGCCCCTCACCGCACGCGCTTGCCTACCGCCACTCGCTGACTCCGCCTGTATCAAATGTCTACGTACTTACTGCGGCCGCCCTCCGCTCTCTACGCGCTCGTTGGCTCACATGTTTTAATTAATAACTCGGTAACTATTGCCAATTTGACATTATGGTACATGACTTTTCTTCTCGGCTACACCCAATCTATCTCCAACTTTCGTCTGCATGATCAGCTATCAAATACCCTGTATCTAAATATAAAATAGGCAACAGACCCATTTGGCGAATAGCCGTCGCGTCAAATGAAAGGCGACTCAGTAAAATTTCATAACAGGAAACAATGCCCTGTTGTAAAAATCTACACGTCTCCGTCGAAGGTTTATATCTGGGTAGTGTTCGCCAAGTGTGTCCGTCAGCCTAGCTATAAAATTTGAAACTTTGCGCTAACAAACCTTCAATAAAACAAAGCAACTCAGAGCATTCTTGCTCTAAAACTTGAAACTTACATCTTCCCAATCCAAAACCATATGTGCCCTATCAGTCAACCAACAAAGCCTACTTCACCGATGGTTATAAACTCTTATCTCAACCCTTGATTTACGGCATTTTGATTTTTCCAGCCGGCCACTTGTATACATTCCTCTATCTCACAAGAATCCACCACCTCCACGCTTGTCGCGCCTAATCCATTCAGCCAATCATATCATATCCATCTAAAACTATGAAACACCCACGCTCCATCCTTCAGCCCTTCCATATTCATATCTCCAAAAACTAACCGTCTCCTCCCATGATGTCTTTTAACTTCATCCTTAATTTCTAATGGCTGAGACTTTTTCCCACTAAGACCAATTCACCCCTTCCTCAAAGGCCATCTCTTTACCCACCCTGATAGCTTCTGCCTCCGATCATCGGTATAAAAACCGCGGTAATCCGCCTCCGCGACACTCTGAAAGACAGAAAAAAGGCAGACACACTCTCACTCAGCTATTCTGCTTTTAGAAGTCAGATTTCAAGTATTCCAGATTCAGATTTAAAAAAAAGATCCGGGCATTCAGATATTCAGATAGTATTTCCAAGATTCATATATCCTAGTTTGTGCAAATATTCAAAGAAGTCAGGAAAAAGCATTAGTGATTGTGTCATAATTGGACAACCTGAAGGGAGTGGGCGAGCACAACCCAACCTACCGAGCAGGAGCTACTAAACGACAACTTTTATTTTTTGTTCACCTCCCGGATAACAGGAATCAGCAGTAAGTTCTGTTTTTTATGCCCTTATTTATTGGTTCCACCCGTTTATTGAAATTCATTTTTAGTGGGCCATTATTATCATTCCGTGGTATCCATCCAACGAGTCCTTCGTTTTTTCGAGACGATGTAGAGATTACGGTGTACGGGATTAGAGATCCTTATGAATTTGAACACCAACTGCAATATCTCCGATCCATTATAAATATTTCACTCGAAACTGATTATCACCCAGACTCGACACTCCTACCCCCTTTCCTACTTCGACGCTTACCCCTTAGTCCTCCCTCTTCTCCTACATGCGCTTCCACTCCTTCTACCCCTTTAATATCGTATTCTCCCGTCTCTTTTTCCGAATTATCCACTCTCTTAAATTCACCTGACCGCTCTCGTTCCTCCTCACCCGACTAACTTTCTATTCATATTTCTCCCCTTTTCCATTCCTTCTTCTTCTATTCCACACACATACACACACACACACACATACACACACACACACGCATACACATACACACACACACACACACCATCATTCAAGTAAATTGTAATAAACCGCGCCGTAATATCATTTTATTGTTATATTTTAAACCGCGCCGTATATCATTTTGTTGTCACTCTTATTTTAATAAATTTGCTATTAATTTATTTCCATCAATTAATTTCAAAATCACCCCACCTTCCAACAGTTGACTCATGGTCCTATCCCCGGTAAAAGGATTCACGTCTTTGACCGAAAAACGGACCGCTCGTCGTACGTCAGTGACCGAGTAGAGGGACCCGTCGGGTTCCTAACCCGTTCCCTTACACGCGTGTACGAACGAGGTTCGCCTTTCCCGCGAACGAAAAGGTTGCGTTCCTCCTCTAGGACATAACAATAACTATGGATGAGACTTGGATCTATCACCATGATCCTAATTTGAAATGGGAACGTTTACAGTGAACTGAAGCTAGATTTTCAGCTCCAAAACAAACGAAGCATGAAAAATAGGCAAAAAAGGTCTTGGCATCAGTTTTTTGAGATGCTAAAGGGATTTTGTTAATTGACTATCTGGAAGAAGGTAAAACAATTAACTCTGAATATTATTATAACCTTTTGGATCAATTGGACGCAAAAATTCGTGAGGAAAGACCTGGTATGCAGCACAAATAGATCATTTTTCACCAAGACAACGCATCTGCTCACACAAGTGTTTTGTCAATATCTAAATTCAACGAATTAAAATACAAATTGCTTGATCATCCACCGTATTCGCCAGATTTGGCACCCAGCGACTTCTATCTGTTCCGAAACCTGAAACAATTCATCCGTGGAAAGCATTTTTTGTCGAATGAAGAAGCTATAGCAGCCGTAGAGGCATGTTTCGCAGACCTTTCAGAAACACACTTCAGCGATGGAATAAAATTATTGGAGAGCCATTAGGCCAAGTGTATTGAAGTTAATGAAGACTATATTGAAGAATAAAATCATTTTTAGAATTCGGTATTCTTTATTTCAGTTTCGCTCCGCAAACTTTTCACGCAACCTGTAGGGTTCAGAGGCTGGTGAGAACTACCGCGTTGCGGCTCACTAGTCTCGACCTGACGATCGGGACCGACGAGGTGGTAGCCACATTGTTCCAGACTGGGGGATGCTCGCAGGCGGAGGTCTCCGCCAGCGGATTGAGTGTCTCCCAGCGGGGAACGGCGGCGATCGTGGTCCGGTGCCCGCAGGCAGCGGCTGCTAGGGTCGCTGCCGCGCGGCAGGTCCAAGTGAAATGGACCCACGCCGGGGTGACGGCGCTGCCCGCCCGCGCCGTGATCTGTTTCAGATGTCTGGAACAAGGTCATGTGCGTGGGCGGTGTCGACCAGCCGGGTCCCAGCGCCGTCGACCGCAGTGACTGCTGTTATCACTGCGGTAGCCCCGGTCACCAGGCCAACCAGTGCCAGGCGGCGACGGCTCACTGCGCCGTGAGCGCAGACGTCGGCAGGCCGGCCGGACATAAGGTCGGCGGGCCGACCTGCAAACCCCTTCCAGGGAAGAAGAGGAGGAAAGGGGCGAGGAGGCCTGGTGGACGAGAAGGAGGAGAGGACGCTGGGAACACCCTTCCCACGCAAGGGGTTCCCACGGAGAGAAGGGGGGAGTTCAGGCCGGCCCCCCTGCAACGAAAGAGTCAGAGGAGGCCGGCCTCTCCTGTAACGAGGGAGACGGAAGAGGCTGGACCGGCCTCCTCTGTGACGAGGAACCCGACGCGGATGTGGGAGGCCAGGCCGGCCTCTCCCGC